TTACAGCCATCCATGGCCGGAAGTCCAAGAAAGCACAATTGGCCTCACTCTCTGGGTGGGTAGGATGGCCCTCCCTCTTCCCCATCACTCAGCGCGATGCTAGTCAGCGCAGGCGTCTGTTAGCTGACGTAACATCTGGCGGTTGGCGCTTTCCTCCGAGCGCGTTCGGCTGATCAATGACGTTGCGTTAGTGGCAGTTCTAAAAGATGTGGTGGCGATTCACAGGCCTCAGAGGAAGCCTGTGTTAGCCTTCACCCTCCTAGCGCTGGTGGTATCGTGTGATTGGAGGAGTCCTGACTTGTGGGTGGAAATGGATACGACTAAATTGGGCAGAAAAATTGGGAAAATTTTCACTGCTGTCGGAACAAATTTCATTTTTCATTTTTTGTCATAATTTGAAAAAGGCCTGTTGTCCTTTATATTGTGTGTAAATTTCATGATGAATGGACCAAAAGAAACGGCCCAAAATGACTTGGTAAAAATTCTGGTTCCATTGACTTACATTAAAAGTAAACTAGGATTTTTCCTTCTCCTGTAAAGTTTAGGAGATACGAGGTTTTGTTCCAACAGCAGCGATTTAAAAAAGGCAGCTATTATAGACAACAGACAACAGTTTGGTGCTGAAATTTTCAAACTGAAGCTTTGCTTACGAAAAGAAATTGTGAGTGTGTTCTGTAGTGTCCATATACCTGTGTGAGGTGTGTGCCTGCAAAAAAGAGTCTGATTCTGTGGGGGACCAACTGTCTAACACGCTACACGGTGAAGTTTTTTTAGTTTCTATAGTTCACAGTTTGTCACACTGTCCTAAACCACATCAACAAGCCTGCATTTCCTCAATGAAGACTTAGATGCAGTTTGAGATGGTTTTTAGGTGTATTTATGGAAAAGATTTGGGTGATTATTGACTTCTAGTGTTAGCCACGTTAACCTCATAGCTCCAGTGCCTAACTAACGAAGCAAAATCTGGTCACCCAACGTCTTGGCTGACCAACTATAAATGGGACGAGCGGAAAAATCGTGCACATTTGATTTGTCGCCCAACCATTCCTTGCAGTGATGGTCTAAAAAAGTACACCAGCACCCGCCGTTCTTAGAAAACATCGTTTATTATTCTGGTAAGGATCTGTTAAAGTTCGTTACAGATAACAAAATACATTTTGTTACGCCTCTGGGCCTCCAGTCACTCCCCGCCCCTTTCACCCTACCCATGTTCGATATGCAGGCACATTCCTCATGCAAAGAGATGGGACATGCAGGAAACCCCCCCTCCCCTCCCCTCCCCTCCCCAGACCCCACCCTCACCCTGCCTCCACCCCCGTCCCCACAAAGTGTCTTAACACCCCATCAGTCACACATAGGCCCACGTTCGGGCGCCCTCACACAGTTCCTAGGTAAAGAAAATAGAATCCATTCTGTTGATGCAAATGACATGCCCTGTCCCTACGCGAGCAAGCGCACTTACATTGGACAGACAGACGGACAAAACGGATGCCATGCTAAGTGTCTGGACCCCAGCATACTGATAAGACATCGTGATGTTTCTGTATGGGTCAGGAACCGCAGGAACACAGCAGCTACTGCAGAGAAGCAGCCGTTTCCGTTCTCGGTGGTCTCGCTTTGGGTTTGATGGTAGTTGTTTTTTTGTTTTTTGGACAGATGGCACAAAGTTTCCTGCAAGCTTTCTTCTCATGAGACTTCAACGCTGTTCCTCAGCAATAAATAAATAAACAAGGTAATAAATAGGTGAATAAATAATGGCTATGTCATAAAAGTGCAGTGCTCACGATCAAATGAAATGAAGGCTTGATGAAATATCGAACGTAGAAACGAAAGAGGGGCGATGTGTGATGGTTATAGGAAAAGGCACACATGGCTGGATGGCTAAAGCTGTGTGTATGTGGTCTTTGTTGTCTTTTTCAAAGTGTACAACTGGGGACCTATTCCACCACCCCCTGGCCTCTTCTTGGGCTGCCCACCATATGGCACCGGCCTTTCTTAGCCTAATTCCCAACTGCCCATTATTTGGCATGCCATCCTGCTTAGCCATGTTTGGTCTGCCCACTGTTTGGCATGCCAGGCTGGTGCAGGGTGTGAATCTTAGCTGGCGTGCTGTAGTGTTTTTCTGGGTCCCTATTGGTTGTGATTGTCTTGAGGACGCCTGTTATGGTCACCTGTTTAGACGAGGGAACCATGCTAGGCTATTGGCCATTATTCCACGTAGCCACCGCATGCTAGGCGGCATGGTGCGTATATATGAGTGTATATATATGTTTGTGTGTATTGTTTACAAATGAGGAAGCTACCCACACATCTTTCCCAAAATATCTTCATAATTCTTCATAATCTTCATAATTCAGTCGCTGAGATGTGGTCATTCAGAGTGGTTTGATGTGAAATTGTAGAGAAACTGACCGATTTCTTTACAGTGGTGGCGATAGGAACCAGAGGTCACATATAAGAACAAGAACAATAATACAAACTATAAATGCTACAGCTGAGTATATATCTGTAGTAATTTAGGGGTTAACTAAGCAGCCCCCAACTGTACAGTGGATAGAGATTAGATGAAGCCACAGTTACTTGCTTATTCTCATTTCCCATTCCACCTTAAATTATTTAGCAGTTACATTCAGGCTCTAGCATGTAACTGCTGCACTATTTAAGGTGGAACGGAAATTGAGACTTGCGTACTGAATTGAGTGCAACGGTGTGAATCTGAGACAAACTGCAGTGCAACAAAGCGAGGTGGCACCAAAAAGACAAGAATGGAAAAGCTACATATGGAGGATGAGGACATATCCGAGCAAGCGGGCAGTGAGAAATGCTGGCCCTAACTTACTCAGCTAGCATTGTAGCATATCGACTGTCTTGATTTTATCACTACTTAGCCACGTTAGTTCTCAGTGGAGCATATGCAGTGCCTTGCAAAAGTATTCACTCCCCTTAAAAGTCATCAGGTTTGTCAGGATTACAAACGACACTGGAAATGATAGTGCAAGACAGCCTGCTGCAGTCTGAAGAACTAAAGCTTAGGAGAAACTTCAACTTTCAGCAGGACAGTGACCCCGAGCACAAGGCCAAAGCAACACAGGACTGAACAACGAAAAGGTGAACGTTCTACAATGGCCAAGAGAATCTGTGGCACTCTTTTAAAACTGCACTTGACAAGTATCATTAAACCAACCTGAACCACCTGGAGCAGATCTGCCAAGAGGAATGGGTGAAAATCTCTCCCAAACAGGGTGCAGAGCTGGTAGAAACCTACCGCAACAGAATTAAAGCTGTTATTGCCACAAAATGTGGTTCTACCAAGTACTAATCTGAAGGGTTTGAATACTTATGCAAGCAGCATTTTTCAGTTTGTACTTTTTTTAAAAAAGATCTGCTGACAAATTATGCATTTTTTGAACTTTTTGACTTTATCATATTGGTTTTCAATAAAATTATTAGCGGGAACAAACGTGTGATTTGTAATCTAGATGAATCTGATGACTTTCAGGGGGTTGAATACTTTTGCAAGGCACCGCAGACTTCCACACTAGCGGATTTCTTCATGTAAAAAAAATGAGTTCTGATTAGGTTTAAAGCACTGGACCTTTCATGGGTGGTGCCATTGAGAGTTTTGACCCACATGAGGGTTGCCAGGTTCACAGTTTTCCCACCAATTGGGCTAGTATGAAAATGCAGTCGTGGAAGAAAATGCAAGTTTTCAGCTTGTTCTGGTTGTCTTTTAAGCAAAGTTTGGGCTTTTTGCTGGACCTGGCAGCCCTGCCCACTGTATAGAACTCTAACAATACAAGATCTCTTTAATACGTAAAACAGGAATGATAACCAGTGAGATGTTTGACATTAATAAAACTGAAAATTGGAGTTTATAATATTTATTTTAATATTTTAGTGACATAAAATATTCAAATATTGTAAAAACTGCTACATCTCCAGATCGAGAACTGTTAAGCTAACTTAGTGACTGTAGTCCTGCTAATGCTATGGTAATGTTTTACCAACAGGCCTGACATTGTAAGTGTTATTAGTAATTTTATCAGATGGAACCCCTACAGTTGAACCCCACCCCCCCCCCGGAATTTTTCTCATCCGCTGATTTCATGTAACAACTTCAAGCCTTTAGAGGTGGACGTCCGGTTCCCATCACCACCACTGTGAACAGTTCTGACCATCGGTCTCTCTAGACTACAAACCACTCTGAATGATGTCATTATTTAAGTTGAAGCCTCCTTTTAATCCCAGTCTGTAGCCTCAGGATCGTCATGATGTGCTTATGGAGGTTAACTGTGGGCCATGAGTTGGAATCAATCAAGTAAAATACTGCAAAAAAGAAACATAAAGTGGACGAAACTTTCAGTTGACGGTCATTTACATATCTGTACCATGTGAGGTTGGGCTGAGGTCATCCAAATCAACATACGGTGTCATAGACAAAACCTGTTCTGAACTATAGGAAGAAGCAGCTGTGAGAAACACTGTCCAAAAGTTTGTAGACACTTGCTCATTCAAAGGGTATTAACAGGGAGTCCCCTTTTATCAGCCTCTACTCTTCTGGGATGGCTTTACACTGCTGTGAGGATTTGATGGCGGCCACAAGAGCATTAGTGAGGTCAGGTACTGATGTTGGATGATCAGTTCTGGATCTCCAACTCATCCCAAAGCTCTGTAGCCCAATGCGTTATATAATCTATGCATGGTGACCATGTACAGCTGCACCAGAGCTCCCCATTCCACTGGCAGTGGAGCCACTGTGTAACCTGAATTCACCAATTAGGAGTGTCTACAAATCTTTGGGCGTGTATATGTTGTTGTAACAAGTTCGTTCATCTACCTAATCACTGGAAAAATCAGAGCATTCGTGTTCAATGGTGAGTCAACGTCATGAAACAAAAACTTTTCAGCAGTACTGAAGAGTAGATGGCAAACACCACATGGCATCTCCCGTATTCAGGGTCACGAGATTAGTGTATGCACTAACCGTCGACACCCACTGGAACCCCTCCTGGGTTCAGTTCTTGTAAAACGCTGGGTTTAGTCAGGTTTAGAGTTTTGGTTGCCATGCACCGTGCCGTTCTGGAGCTCCTATAAGCTCCTCGTAATGCCTCTGGAGGAGAACTTCTGACTGTCACAGAGAAGCATGTGCCCCTTTGCGCTGATATGGTCAGGATTGGCTGGTGTCAGGTTCTTCGGTGCGCTAAGATGGTGAGATGCCCTCAGGACCACTCACGAAGGCCGCGGCCTTGAAGGCTGCAGCCCGTTTCATGTTAATTGCGTGGTGCTTTTCTTCCTCATGCTCTCTTCTTCATTCTCCTTGACTCGGCTCTCTTGTGCTGCAGTCCAGCGTCTGCTTATGGTACCTCCTCTTCTCCAGCATCTCCTCACAGTGGTGGTCCCTCCTCATCGATGTAGCTGATGTGCTCCACTGAGCTCCGTCCACTGGAATCCCACTCCTGCATCTCCAGCTCCGTCGGAGGTTGGGTGGAGCCAGGGCCAAGGTGGGCGGGGCTCGACGTCTGCTGGAACCAAAGGGAACTGCCCGGGGAGCTGCTGAGGGAGGCTGGCGCCGAGCAGTGGGATTTGGTTAGAGGGGGCGGGACTTCCTGTGAAGGGGGTGGGGCCAGTGAGGGCCGAGAAGGGTGCGGTCCCTGGCAGGGTGAGAAAGAGGGTGACTGGGAGCGAGACGAGGAGAGAGAGAGCGAGAATGAGAGAGAAGGGGAAGGGGTACGTGAAGCTAGAGGTGGCCGGTCAGGAACCTGCTGGCCAAAGCCATTGTTGTTGCTGTTGCAGGAGCCCAGGGGGCTGCTAGGCTGCTCTTTTTGGACAGTCTCCATCTGAGACAGGCTAGCGTGAGACGAGCTCTTAGAGCTGACACCCATTGGTATCTGAGGTTGGGCTTGTGGTCTCTGAGGGCTGGTGGGTATGAGGCAGCTGGGAAGGCCAGTCATGCCCCCCAGGTCTGAGCTGTCCAATAGGGAACAGGGAAGTCTGAGCGGGGAGCAGGGCGAGGCCAGATGGGGTGGGACTGGATGGGGCAGAGCTCCTGCAGGAGAGGTGATGGACGGGCCACTGGTGCTGCTGGGAGGCGGAGTCAGCGAGAGGGGGAGGGTGGTCAGGAGAGGCTGAGAGCCGGTCAGGAAGAGAGGCCGCAGAAGGCGGGTCATCTCCTGCAGCTCCTGGCTCAGCTGAGAGACCTGCTGTGATAGGTTGGTCATCTGTGAACAAAATAAAGTAAAATAAGTTTTCTGCAGAATTAAATTTGATACATTTTTATAGTTTATATTGTTTTTTTTTGGGGTATTAATATTTTTTTATATGGGCACTATTGAAGGTGCCATGTTCTACATTTTTGGCCCTCTAAAGTCCAGTTAAAATTTTTTATGTTTTTATGCACCAAAAACAATCATAAGCAATCCGAACTGTCCAGTTCAGACTAAAATCCTTAGGGATGTTGGAAAATATAAACTTCTCCTCTCCTTGGATGTGTGAATCCTTTGGAAGGCTGCAGTGATCCATTGGCTTCCTGACAGCCAGGAACAGCACACATTTATTCGTTTTCAGTCCAATAACTCTGCTACAGAGTGTCTGCAGGAACAACACTCCTTATAACTACAGCTTAATTTCCATATATGGACTGTGGAGTGAATGGTACACTTTGAAACATTAACAATTAACAATTTTATATCAAAACATCAAGGACAATTCATCATCTCAGGACATTATTCCTTTTAAATGTGCTTCCACATAGCATCGTGGCTCTTAATTTCAGTGATGGCCTGCCAAAGCACTATACATTGGTCTAATATATAGATGTATACATGCTCTAATGAGCCTTATTGTGCATTTGATTTGCCCAGATTGAGAACCACCACTGAGAGATAAGAATCTCTGTGTTGGCAAACTAGATCAACAGGATGCAGTTTTTTTTTGCCTGATTTTTGCAGTCATGTACAATTAACCATGTTATGTCTGTGCAAAACTCAGATACCACCCATTATTTAATTTCCAGTCATTAAAGTCATTCATTTGACAGTGTCGGGGAAAAAAAAACTTCCCCAATTTTCTCCCTAATTTAGTCGTATCCTGTTCCACCCACTAGTTAGGACCCCCCAAACACCCTAAGAGGGCGAAGGCTAGCACAGGCTTCCTCCAAGACCCGTGAAGTGCCACCACATCTTTTCGAACTCCCACTAACGCGACTTCATTGGACAGCTGAACACGCTCGAAGGAAAGCGCCAACTGCCAGATCTGTTACTTGTACCTAATGCCCGTTCTGACTGGAAATGAAATAAGAGCTTGTGTGGTCTCTGACATTTGCAGGACTGTATGTTGGTCACAATGTATGTAACTGGTCATCACTAAAAATATATGAGCACAAAAGTCCCTGCAGAAGGTTCCAGGGTGCGCTGTGAATACACACATCAGGCCACGGCCTTCCTCTCAACGCTGGGTCTACTCATTTGATGCTAATCGCTCATCGGCGCGGAGCTGCTTCATGCATGGACGTCGAAGCGTGTTTTCCACTCTAGTTGGTGGGCTGGACAGATGGCATGTTTTTCTTTTTTGTTGAAGGCACTCACCTCTTCACTCAGCTTGCTGATGCTCTGCCTGGTCTCCACCTGCTCCGGGCTCACTGCACACAAACGCACACATGGACATCAGCATAAATAATACAGCTGGTCATTTGTTTTCCCCCCAATAGCTGTGTGATTTAAAGGATCTTGAAGGTGGGAGGAGCTTTTGAAAAATGACAACTGCATTGAGGTGAGCTGTTGGAATTTTTGGTAACTTTCTATGAAGCCTATATTCTTTAACAGTTCTAAACGTGTTTATGGATTTGTGCGGATTTTGGTCAGTATAGCTGGCCACTGAGTGTTTAGCCGGTTGCTTGTTTGCTAGCTAACTTCACGTGAGGTAAAGAAAAGAGAAAACATTAGGACAAACAAAAGTTCACAGCAGTTGTTCTTACTATGCGAAAATTGTTTTCCATCAAGTTTATGGCTTTATAGTTATAAATAATAACAATGAATAGCAATAGCTTAACATCAAATGCTCATCAGTCAGTGATGGCATTTTAAATGTTTATAAAGGTTTTATGATTGTTAACGATTAAACTATAATTATGCTTTATTTTTTAAATGCATTATAATCAATAGTGACACTTGCGTTGCTCCGTGTTAATAAGTAACAAAAAGGTTCATTATTACAGCCTTATGAAGCATTACTAGAGTTTATAAATATGTTTATAAAGCATTGTTACCAAGAGTTATAAGCGCATTTATAACATCTTACGCTTCATAGAAAATGCTACCACATTTTTTTTCCCGCTAGCTGGCTAAAACAACATACCAGTGGTTGTATGGCATATTTGTGTGATGCATTTTGGGTATTGCAGTGAGAGAACAATGAAGGACGTGAATCCAATCAAACTTATGAGGATTAAGGATGCTGAATATTACAAATCATGAAAAAATAGCATATTAAATGCTAATTTTAGGCTGGACTGCCCCTTTGAGAGTTAAGTATCATACAAGGGTCACTTGAATATACGGGCGAAGAATATACGAATATGGGAGAGACATATTAAAGCGATAGTTCAGCCAAAAATCAAATTTATGTCATTTTTTCCAAAATGAAGTCAATCAGCCAGGACAAGTTTGGACAAGAGCTACATGGCTAATGAAGCTAACAACAAATGCTTAGAAGAAATCTTAAAAATTTAAATACTAAAAATTAAATATATCTAAAAATACCTTTACAGAGAATAATATATTTTACAGTGTGAGAAAAACAGGCAGTTCTATTAGTAATAACAGTTTTAGGCAAGTGTGAACAGATAGCCACGTGCTAATTGGTGGGGTATAAGTATATTACTTGTTAGCCACATTAGCCTCATGTGATACAGGACTAAAGAAACACCAAGCATGTCTTGGCTGATCCTGTCATTTTGGGCTAACTGTGTAAATCAGATTTTTGGCTGAACTATCGCTTTAAAAAGTAAAGTGTAAGTGTACCTGGGCTGGGGGATGGAGGGCCACTGTGAGGGAGGGTGGAGCTGAACTCAAACCTTTGTGCAGAGCTAGTATTGCTCTCCGTCTCGATACCATCCACAAACCTGCGGAACAGCCACAGAGAGAAAGAGAGAGAGGAAATGAGTGAGCGAGAGAGCATTTAGATAAATGAGCTCATGACTGCCTTAATCACTGGAAAGCAAACCACTGACCATTCAGTGTGAACGTGTCGGTGATGTCAGATGTAAATGTAATAAAATCCTAATATAAATCCCGTCTGCTGAGCTGAGCTGAGCTGGAGCTGAACCTGTGCTTTTCCTGGTGTGAAATCGAGGGGAGGAAATAGTGCTCCCCCCCCCTGCCTGGTTGTCATGGCAGCTGGACACTTGGCACTAAATTATGAATCAATCTGGCTGCAGTTCTCTTGTTGGCCACCAGAGGGCCAAAAAAGACTGAGCTGTAGAGGAACATAGGCTAGTAAGTGGTGTGTTTACACTGACTTGCCACTTCATTAAGTACACGTCCTTGTTTCTACACTCACTGTCCATTTTATCAGCTCCACTGACCATATAGGAGCACTTTGTAGTTCTACAGTTACAGACTGTAGTGCATCCGTTTCTCTGCGTACTTTGTTACCCTGTTCTTCAATGATCAGGACCCCCACAGGACCCCCAAAGAGCAGAAGCAAGACTGAAAATAGTCCTCCAAAAATATCCAGCCAACAGCGTCCTGTGACCACTGATGAAGGACTAGAGGATGACCAACACAAACTGTGCAGCAGCAGATGAGCTATCGTCTCTGACTTTACATCTACAAGGTGGACGGACAAGGTAGGAGTGTCTAATAGAGTGGACAGTGAGTGGACACAGTGTCCAAAAACTCCAGCAGCACTGTTGTGTCTGATCCACTCAGACCAGCACAACACACACTAACACACCACCACCACGTCAGTGTTACTGCAGTGCTGAGAATGATCCACCACCCAAATAGTACCTGCTCTGTGGGGGTCCTGACCATTGAAGAACAAGGTGCAGAGAAACAGATGGACTACAGTCTGTAACTGTAGAACACACAGTGCTCCTATATGGTCAGTGGAGCTGATAAAATGGACAATGAGTGTAGAAACAAGGAGATTTAACATTATAAAGGAAATGTTTAGACAAATGTGTAAAATCACTACTTATTGCATTAATGTTGCTGATGTTTACGGTAACATTACTGTTTTTCTGTAAGTAAACAGTTGAACTGCCAGACCATGTCAGGTCCAAAACAGTCCTGCAGTAGTTTTGTCATCAGTGTGGGTGTTTGTGTGACAGGTAACACTGTGTTCCCCCCTTAAGGAGGCTATGTTCGGCAGTCTGCAGCCACAATGACACGAGGGACTTTTAACTTCACCAGCAGCTGCAATTCTATTTTTCACCCATTGCTAATTTGACCTGATGTTGCTGTAGTCTCTTCATCTACTATAACAATAAAACCAGTCTAATCTGATTGGTTGTACAGTTTGAGGTTTAGGCCCAATCCCATTTCTTATTTTACCCCTACCTCTTGTTTTCGAGTGTCGCTTTTCCCCTTGGGACTGAGTTACAAGGGGTAGTGGTTGAAATCTTCCCTCTGAAATTGGACCCTCAAGTAAAAAGAGCATCACTTCATTAACAGCTACTAGCGCTGCTCTGTAGGCGACCCTGCCAGTCTGCAGTGACAGCAGAGGAGGGTAAAGTTCAGCTCCTCACTGCTGGGCTTTAGTTACATGTAGGGCATCATATGCCTTCAAAGAGGGGGGCAATTATTTATTATCACCCACCCCTAATTCTTCAGTGATGTGAAGCTGAAGTCAGATATTCACCAGCTTCTTGTTCGAATTTTCCCGTTCCACCTTAAATGGAGCGGCAGTTACATTCTGGTGCCTCAGGCGTCAGAACTGCTGGACTATTTAAGGTGGAACGGGAAATTTATCTAGCTAGCTACTGAGACATTAGCATACTATTAGCGATTTTTATGCTTGTTATGAAGAAAAGGACCATAATACACTGAAACGACATTAAACCAAGATAATACAGTGGTTATTGTAATTTTCAGTGGATAAAATTCTCACATTTGTGGGTTTCTTTGGTCTCTTGTTCAGTCGTCTTGCCAGTTTTTTTCTTTTTTCTCATATCACTCTGTTTGGAGTCTCTGAAAAACCTCATTTGGAGGGTCATGTAGTCCCCAACACTTCGCCCTCCCCCTCTATCTCAACACAAATCGGGACACCCTACCCCTAGACGTGAATGTGCAAAATGGAGGGGTAGGGCTAAGTGGTAGGAGCGAGGGGTGAAATGGGATTGAGCCTTAGATCATTTCACGCTTTCACTGTTAACACTCTATGGATGATTCTACCGAATTGGTTTAAAGTCAGAGTTGTAAATTCAATATACAAAAAAGTATCAAAGTTTCAAAAGAATCAGCAGATTTAATACATTTTTAATACATTTATGAACGACTATTGGTGCTTTATCTGTGGAAATGTCTCCCACTGACATCAATATCAGCTAAACGATATATCAGCCGAGCCCTGTTTGGAACGCTATTTGAAAGTCCCTATTAGATGAAGCAGCTCATGCGTTTGTGTACCTGGGGCTGAGCTCCGGAGGGGCGCTGCTGAAGCTGACCACGGGGATCTGCAGGGTGGCGGGACGGCTGTGGTCCGAGGGCGGCCTGAAGGGACGTGGAGGGAGGAGGGGGGATCGCAGGGGGGAGTTGAGCCCTCTGGTCAGACGCAGGGGTGACCGAGGGGCGCGGGACACCGCGTGCTGCTCTTCGTCATTCTCCTCATCCTCGCGGATAGAGGGCAGCTTCTTCACCAGGCCGCCGTTAC